GTGGCATTAGGGAAATATGGATCCCTGCAAGGCCCATCCCAAAGGCAGGAACTGGGGGTCTTACCTGGAGACTTTGTCTCGTTGGGGATGATGCACCGCACGAAGTGCGGGTGGGTGGAGCGCAGGTTGGTCATCAGCTTGTTGAGGTTCTCCTTGGGGGGGGGAAGGAAAAGTGGGCGGGAGGAAGGATGGAGTGGGATGTGGTGAGGGAAGGATGGATGGGGTGGATGGAGATTGTTTGGAAAGGACGGTGTGCGTGGGCAGGAGAAGGGTGGAGCGGTAGGTCCGATTGACAACCAGGACAGGGAGGAAGGCCGGTCGCAGAAGAAGGGAAGAAAGAAAGTTTGACAGAACAGGAAAGGGAAGGATCACGAGCAGCATATGGGTACCGGTCAGAGGCCAGGAGAGGTAGATGTGGTTGGGAGAGGGTGAAGACCAAAGAAATAAGCAATTTAGTAACCGGGAAAAAACCTCAGTAATTCTCTTTGTCCTAACTGCGAAGCCTTTCAGAGGCTTGCGGGCCATCACTAAAGTCGCTGGCTGAGACTTTTGTGAGGCCTTTGAGGAAAAGCCCAGCCTGAAGCCCAGCTAAGGGGCCAAAATGAAGAGGCCAATGCCTCAGAGAAAGGGCACCAGCACAGGAGAAAAGACCTTGTGCGCCTCGTCAGTGGTGGCCCTAGAAGACCAAACGGGCCCAAGATCTCAAGCAGAGGTTTTTACCAGCCTTACTTTCCGAGTGCCTTCAAAATGGCAAAGATGGGGACTGAACCCACACAAACCCTCTTAAACGTCGACAGCGGCCACTGCTGGTATCTCCCCTGGGTCCTTACCCTGTGCAAAGCAGACACCGTCTGGAAAGAGGAGCCCTTCTTCTTGGTCCCTTTGCCTTTCTCAACAGCTAGTGAAGAGAGAGAGAGAGAGAGCGTGGAATGAGGAAACTAAGTCGGTCTTAAGAACATAAGAGAAGCCAATGTTGGATCAGGCCAATGGCCCATCTAGTCCAACAATCTGTCACACAGGGGCCAAAAATACCAGATGCCATCAGGAGGTCCAGCAGTGGGGACAGGACACTAGAAGCCCTCCCACTGTTGCCCCCACCAAGCACCAAGAATACAGAGCATCACCTGCCCCAGACTGAGAATTCCTATCTACACCTTGTGGCTAATAGCCACTGATGGACCTCTGCTCCATATGTTTATCCTGTTTCCTCTTGAAGCTATCCATGCTTGTAGCTGCCACCACCTCCCGTGGCAGTGAATTCCGTGTGTTAATCACTCTTTGGGTGAAGAAGGACTTCCTTTTATCCGTTCTAACCCGACTGCTTGGCAATATCATGGAGTGCCCACGAGTTCTTGTATAGTGAGAAAGGGAGAAAAGAGCTTCTTTCTCAACCTGCTCTATCCCAGGCATAATCTTATAAACCTCGATCATGTCACCCATCAGCTGTCGTTCCTCCAAGCTGAAGAGACCCAAGCGTTTTAACCTTTCTTCATAGGGTTAGAAATTATTTACTGATCGCATGTTCCTCCCAGGGCCTCGGAAGGGTCCTACATGGTTCCCCACCACCAGTTACCTTCACAAAAAGGCAAAGTAGTAAAGTTAGATAATGAGATAATGACTCATCAAGGTCCACAAGTGGCTAAGCAGAGATCTGAACCCAGATCTGCCCTGACTTGGATGGCCCAAGCTGACCTGATTTTGCCAGATCTCAGAAGCGAAGCGCTGTCAGCCCTGGTTAGTACATGGATGGGAGACCACCCAAGACGTCCAGGGCTGCTATGGAGAGGCAGGCAATGGCAGGCCACCTCTGAACATCTCTTGCCTTGAAAACCCTACAGGAGAGGTGTCGAACTCATTTGTTACGAGGGCCGGATCTGACATAAATGTCACTTTGTTGGGCTGGGCCATGTGTGCCATAAAACATAATGCCAGGCACCGGAGATATAAACTGTATAGAGGAGAGCCGCTGGTAAGCGCCAAGTTGGTGCGTCCTCACTGCAAGGCCTCATGGGCTAGGAGAGAGGTGCAAAGGAAACCCACATGGGCTGGCGAGCGAGCGATGCAGCCCTGGGCAGACGCTCCCACACTGCTTGACTGCTGCAAACGAGGTTGTTCCACCATGCTGAAGCCACAATCGGAGTGACTCCGCTGACTTCTCCCAGCAGTCTCCTGTTCCCTCCCTTGCACTAGTTGCTCGCAGGCCACATATGAGCCCTGGACGGGTCGGTTCTGGCCCCCGGGCCTTATGTTTGACACCCCTGCCCTACAGGGTCACCATAAATCAGCTGTGACAAGAAGAAGAAGAAGAAAAAGAAGAAGAAGAAGAAGAAGAAGAAGAAGAAGAGATTGTATTTATAACCCGCCCTTCACTCGCAGTCTCAGAGCGGCTTACAAACTCCTCTCCCTTCCCCTCCCCACAACAGACACCCTGTGAGGTAGGCAGGGCTGAGAGAGCTCTGAGAGAACTGTCCTTGATAGAACAGCTCTGACAGAACTATGGCTTGCCCAAGGTCATCCAGCAGCTGCAAGCGAATCAAGCCTGGTTCTCCCAGATTAGAGTCCGCACACTTAACCACTACACCACACTTGACAGCATTCTACACACGTATGGGCAGCTTCTTATGTTCCCGTCCCCCGCTCACGGACAAGAATGTCATTTTGAGGCAAGACATGTGACGCATTCCTCTCTTACGTGCATCTGCCCCGGCGTAGTTGGCGAAAAGGACCGCCAGGAGCTTGAGGGCCGACTTCTGGTAGAGCCCCACCACCGTCTCGTTGAGCGGGTCCTTGTTCTTGTTCAGCCAGCCATTGATGTTGTAGTCGACGGTGCCGGCGTAGTGCATGAGGGCGAAGTGAGCTTCCGGCTTGCCCTTGATGTTGCGAGGCTTCGCGAAGTTGGCCGACTTGCCCAGGTGGTTGTCAAAGAGCTTGGCCTTGAAGGTCACGTCGCTGGCTTTGGGGAACATGCATTCTTCCTCCAGGATGGACATAATGCCCATCGGCTGCAGAAGAGGAGAAACGTCAGCAAGCACAGGCAGAGATGAGTCAAATGCATTGTCGACGGAGGCCATAGTTGGCCGTTTGAGAGAGGAGCAGGCAGACCCAGTGCAAGTCGGGGCTACCCTTCCTACCGGGGTCCCCAACTGTTTTTACTTCTGACCAGGTAGTGGGCACAACCACAAAATGGCCGCCGCAGGAAACGGAGCCAGCCACAAAATGGCCACCACAGGAGGCATGCCAACTACAAAATGGCCACCAGAGTAGGTGGAGCTAACCACTAAATAGCCAACAGAGGAGGCGGGTCAACCACACACAGAGAGGACACCGAAGCACAGGGGACATGAGGCGTGAAAATATCACTGGGAAAGAGGAGTGAGAGAGAAGAGGAGGAGGAGGAGGACATTGGATTTATATCCTGCTCTTCACTACCCGAAGGAGTCTCAGAGCAGCTTACAATCTCCTTTCCCTTTCCCTTCCCACAACAGACACCCTGTGAGATAGGTGGGGCTGAGTAGGCTTACGAAGTACTTACCTTGAATCGGCGGGGGACACATACGTCTTGTCAGGAACATTCCTGCGTGGAAAACAAACGCGCCACACCATGCAGTCACCCAGACGTGACGCCAGCGTGCTGGCGTCACGTCTGGGTGACGGCATGGTGCGGCGGGGATGTGTTCCACCAGGGGTCATTTCGTAGAAAAAGAGGTGCAGGAGCTCATTAGCATAACTCATTAGCATAACTCATTTGCATATGCCACACCCCCTGACATCGCCGGAAGTGTGTCAGAAGGCAACACCCACCGCTCAGGCTCCACTGGACTATTGGGGGGGGGGAACGTGCAGATCTGTCCTTGCAGAGGAGGGAGAGCTTGTACCTGAATAAAACTTGGTCTTAAAGGTGCCACTGGACTGTTTTTTTTGGGGGGGGGGGCCCTCTGCAACTTACCTGGCTGCTTCTTGCTCTGACTGAGATCTACTGGGAGCAGGGGGTGGGGCTTGTTGCATGTGCCCGCCCCCTGGGCTCTTTACTACCGGAGCTCCGCTCCTGTGAGCTCCTGCAGGAAATGACCTCTGTGTTCCACCAAGGGATGTTCCATGTGTCCCCCGTCGATTTGAAGGTAAGTAGTTGGTAAGCCTAGGGCTGAGAGAGCTCTGAGAAAACTGCCCTTGAGAGAACAGCTCTGAGAGAACTCAGTGTTCCCTCTAAGCTGAGTTAGTGTGAGCTAGCTCACAGTTTTTTAGCTTCCGGCTCACACATTTCTGTCCTAGCTCAGGAAGGATGGTTCCAGAGCAAATTAATTTATGCAGTAGCCAAGTCGCTCACTCGCAACTTTAATGCCAGTGGCTCACAAATTGGAATTTTTGCTCACAAGACTCCACAGCTTAGAGGGAGCACTGCTTGTGACTGACCCAAGGTCACCCCAGCAGCTGCAGTGGGAAATCAAACCCAGTTCTCCCAGATTAGAGTCCGCACTCCTAACCATTACACCAAAATGTCTCCTAACCACTACACCAAGCTGTGGTGACAGCTGTCACTGAACTGTTATTTTGATTTGGGCAGACAATCAGACCTCCAATGGCTAATCAGAAGCCGTGCTGGGCAGGAGCCCCACCTGCTCACACACACCTTATAAAAACACTTGTCAGGCACCAGGAAAGGTGTTGCCAGGTGCTATGGTGCCCTTGGGCGCCAACAGGGCTTTTTTTGTAGAAAAAGCCCAGCAGGAACGCATTAGCATAATAGGCTCAAGTGGTTAAGACGCTGAACTGCAGGCTGTGGAAGGTCAGTAGTTCAGCAGTTCGAGACCCGGGTACCGCATGATGGAGTGAGCTCCCAGCAGTTCTAAAGCAAGAAATTGCAAGTAGATAAATAGGGACCACTTCGGTGGGAAGGTAACAGCGTTCCGTGCGCCTTGGTGTTTAGTCATGCCGGCCACATGACCACGGAAACGTCTTCGGACAGCGCTGGCTCTTCGGCTTTGAAACGGAGATGAGCACCGCAACCCTAGAGTCGGATTCGACTGGCTTTCGAGCAAGGGAACCTTTACCTTTACCTAATACCAGGAACTCATTAGCATATTAGGCCACACCCCTGACAGCACAGCTCATTCACACATTAGGCCACACCCCCATGTTACCAGAAGTGTGCTCATCCAGCCACACCCACCTTTTGCTTCTTATTCTGTTCACCTTGTTTGTTGTCAAAACCCAGGGCCTTTTTTTGTAGCAGGAACTCCTTTGCATGTTAGGCCACACCCCCCTAATGTAGCCAATCCTAATGAGTTTCTGCTGTTGGGTGTGGCCTATTATGCTAATGAGTTCCTGCTGGGTGTGGCCAACTCGGGAGCCAGCCGGAACTCCATTCCTGCCCCAAAATAGCCCTGGGCACCAAGTTGGAGACCGCTGTGTGCCTCAAACTATGCTGGTGCTGCTTCAGAAGCCAGTGCCTCCCCATGACCTTGGATTGGTCAGGAGCCCACTGGTAACTCTGCACGCCCCAGGAAGCAATTGCTTGGGGGCCAGCAGCCCCAGGTGAGGCATAAAGAAAGGGAAGGAGATGTTCATGACTTGGGGAGGGGGGAAGTCAGGTACCTTCTCGATGAGGTCGATGCAGGCCTGGAGGTCCATGCCGAAGTCGATGAACTCCCACTCGATGCCCTCCTTCTTGTACTCCTCCTGCTCCAGCACGAACATGTGGTGGTTGAAGAACTGCTGCAGCTTCTCGTTGGTGAAGTTGATGCAGAGCTGCTCGAAGCTGTTAAACTGGGGGGAGGGGGGGGAGAGAAAGGAAGCTCAAGACCAATGAGTTTAGGCAGGGAGTTCCCCCTCAGGTGAGTCCTTTTGGCATTGGCCGTTTTCACAGGTAGTATTTCTTACAGGTCCCTAACCTGGATGGCCCATCAAATCTCAGAAGCTAAGCAGGGCTGGACCTGGTTGGTCCTTGGACGGGAGACCACCAAGGAAGTCCGGGGTTGCTACGCAGAGGCAGGCAATGGCCAACCACCTCTGTTCTTCTCTTGCCTTGACCTGGATGGCCCAGGCTAGCCCGATCCCATCAGATCTCAGAAGCTTAGCAGGGCTGGCCCTCGTTGGTCCTTGGACAGGAGACCACCAAGGAAGTCCGGGGTTGCTACGCAGAGGCAGGCAATGGCCAACCACCGCTGTTCTTCTCTTGCCTTGACCTGGATGGCCCAGGCTAGCCTGATCTCATCAGATCTCAGAAGCTCAGCAGGGCTGGACCTGGTTGGTCCTTGGACGGGAGACCACCAAGGAAGTCCCGGGGTTGCTACGCAGAGGCAGGCAATGGCCAACCACCTCTGTTCTTCTCTTGCCTTGACCTGGATGGCCCAGGCTAGCCTGATCTCATCAGATCTCAGAAGCTCAGCAGGGTTGGCCTTGGTTGGTCCTTGGACGGGAGACCACCAAGGAAGTCCAAGGTTGCTACGCAGAGGCAGGCAATGGCCAACCACCTCTGTTCATCTCTGGCCTTGACCTGGACAAGGTGACCCCACTCCCAGCCACTCCACCTGGTAGGAACTCTCTTCTCAGCAAGGAGCCTAGACCAGAGGTCGGCCGCCTCCCAAAGGGTACTCTTTCTGACACAGATCCTCTTCTGGAGGTCCGCCTTCCAGGCAGCAATGCCCCACCCCAGGGCTCTAGCTCAGGGGTCTCCAAACTATATGAGCCTGGTGGCAAATTTGGAATTCTGACACGGTGCGGTGGGCACACCCCAAAATGGCCGCTGTGGGAGATGGAGCCCGCCACAAAATGGCCGCCACATCTTACCTTCAGGCACACAATGACGATCCCTGTGCCGTGGTGGTGGCCGCTGCCGCCAAAGCAACATTTAAAAAAAAATCTGCACAGCCAATCAAATCTCCAGTGGCCAATCAGAAACCTTGCTGAACAAAAGCCCCACCTGGCTCTGCCCACTTTGTCAAAACAGTCGGCAGGTGCCAGGAAACGTGTTAATGGACACCATGTTGGAGACCCCTGCTCTAGATCGTCCTTGCAGGTCGAAAGCAGATAACATGGCCTTCCAGTCCCTTTATAATAATAAGATTGGATTTATACCCCGCCCTTCACTACCCAAAGGAGTCTCAGAGCGGCTTACAAACTCCTTTCCCTTCCCCTCTCCACAACAGACACCCTGTGAGGTGGGTGGGGCTGAGAGAGCTCTGACAGAAACTGCCCTTGAGAGGACATCTCTGAAACAACTTGTGGCTGACCCAAGGTCACAGCAGCAGCTGCAAGTGGAGGAGTGGGGAATCAAACCCGGTTCTCCCAGATTAGAGTCCGCGCACTTAACCCCTACACCAAACTGGCTCTTGTTTTAGAAGGGAGGGGGAACTGCTCACATCGAAGATCTCGAAACCAGCAATGTCGAGCACCCCAATGAAGTACTGCCGTGGCAGCTTGGTTTCCAGGGTGGAGTTGATCCTGAGGACCATCCAGGTGAACATTTTCTCATACACGGACTTAGCCAGAGCACCGACAGCATAGGACACCTGTTTAGAAAAGGGAAGAGTCGGAGAAGATGAACAGGAGGGGGGAAAGAGCATCCTTAAAATCCGAAAAAAAATCAGATTTCAGGCTCGAACTCAAAAACGGTGCGGAATTTCGGCATTTGTTTCCAGCTCGTATTCCATAACCCCGAGGAGAAGAAGAACCCCATTCCTCCAGAGAAGAAGGAGCTGGACCTCACCTGTTGGACATTTTGCCCTTTGGTGACATACTCGTTGCCCACTTTCACCCTCGGGTGGCAGAGGCCCTTCAGCAGGTCCGCGGAGTTCAGCCCCATCAGGTAGGCCGACTTGTCTGCTTCTGTAAACGCAGGGAAGGGTGGCCAAGGTTAAAGCCAGCACGGGCCGGAGAACCAAGGTGAACAAGCGGGGAAGGATTCAAGGAAGAGGCGCGGAGGGAATTGAAATCCGAAAAGGCGGATCCTGAAAAAGGATGCCGGAGACACTGTGCACTGTATTTGTCAGGCCTCACCTGGAGTCCTGTGTGCAGTTCTGGAGGCCTCCCTTCAAAAAGGAGGTGGACAGAATGGAGCGGGTGCAGAGGAGAGCGAGGAGGATGATCGGGGGGCCTGGAGAACAAGAAGCCCTGCGAGGAAAGGTTGAGGGACTTGGGAATGTTCAGTCTGGAGAAGAGGAGGTTGAGGGGGGACAGGATGGCTCTCTTGAAGTGACAAACACTTGTCGGGGATGCTCTAGGCCAGAGGTGCTGAGCTCATTTGTTATGAGGGCTGGATCTGAGATAAATATCACTTTGCTGGGCCGGGCCATATGTGCTGTAAACAGGGGTCGCTTCGTAGAAAAAGAGCTAGGGGAACTCATTAGCATAACTCATTAGCATATGCCACACACCCTGACATCACCGGAAGTGTGTCATAAGGCCACACACACCACCCCAACGGTCCCGGCCGCCAGCGGCGGCCTTGCAGCTCCACTGCCGA